TTTAAACTGTATGTTCAAGTAACACATACCTGGAGGTAAAACATGATATGGTGCTTGCCTTGTTTAAAAGTAATTCCTCTAAATCATTTATTTATTTACCTATTTTTGGTGCATGTTCTACAAATGTGAAGATGCAGACAAGTAGACGGGTAGACAGTTCCTTGGTGGTGGGATGCCTGCACTTCACGCTCGGAATTCATAGCCGTGCTGTTCTCTTTTAAACCCTCCGTCACGTAGGGCATATTTGCATGTGTCTTTGCTTTTATATGAGTTTTACTTTTAAGAGGAATGTTGGGTATAAAGTATATATACTTTCCATACTGGTATGTAAGTATATCGACAATTATATAACAACCAACAAATGTTTTTCAGTCTACAAATTTCTACACATAGACAAGCGCGCACACATGCACACGCACACACACACACACATGCATACGCATATGCATACACACTCATATGCGCACGCACACACACACAAGCATGCAAGCACACATGCATACACACATGCATATGCAAACACATACACACACACATGCATATGCAAACACATACACACACAAACAAACAAACACACAAACAAACAAACAAACAAACAAACAAACACACACACACACACACACAAACACACACAAACTCACACACATACACACAAACACATACACACAAACACAAACACACAAACACAAACACAAACACACACACAAGCACACACACACACACACACACACACACACACACACACACACACACACACACACACACACACACACACACACACACACACAAACTACTGCAAATACAGTTAACCAAATAGATTGAGATTAATATGCATTTGCATAGAAATACATTGATGAAATAGAAAAATATATAGCTGGATAGATAGATAGATATAGACTCTTGTAGATATAAAGCTTGATTGCATTACTCAAGTTTCTTATGTTCTTTCACAAGGACTGATACTTGGCCACAGAATACATTTTTCATTCTTTCTAAGCCCATTTTGGATCTAAAAATTCACCTCGAGTAGTTTTGCTGTCGGCACCCGGGGTTTCTCTGCTGAATGGAAAATTTGCAGGAGGCATGAACCACTAGCCTTGTAGGATTTTTCTGGGGAATCTGGGGGCCTGCTTGCAAGATTTTAAAATTCTTATTTAATTTTAGATATGAATACACATCCACACATTCTTCTCTATTTACACGTATATGCATACCCTTACAAACACATATATACATACATACACTCACATATGCACACACACACATCCACACACACATCCACACACATATCAATACACATATCTTTACACATATCCACACTCACATCCACACACACATCCACACACACACACAATATGTATATACATTTTTATTTGTATTTTTTTTTCTTTTCTTGTTCTTCTTTTTTCCCTCTTTCTGCTTTCTTTGCTATTCTTCTCTTGTCTTTCATCTTTCTTTCCTTCCTTGTCCTTTCCTTTGTCATCTCTACTCCTCTTTTGTCTCATTGTCCATTTTTAATTGCTTGTTTGCTTTATTTGTGTTTTTTCTTTGTGTTTTTCTATTCCTCCTTCATTATGGGACGAAAAGAGAACAGCACATGTTATTTTAGCAAAGATGATTATTCGCTTTTGATCATTTTTAAAGTTTTTAGTATTTGCTTGTTTGAACGGGATAAGTGCTTTTAGTTTTAAGGGTTTTTCTAAAGGTTCTTCTCTGGCCCTGTCTTACTTTTGTTATGCTGAATGAACAAGGTAAATGGCATAATCAATTTAGTTTGATGAATAATTCTTATTGAAAAAGAATAAGAAAACTTGCATATGCATGTGTGCGTGCACGCACGCGCGCACACACGCACACACACACACACACACACACACACACACACACACACACACACACACACACACACACACACACACACACACACACACACACTCACACACTCACTCACACACTCACACACTCTCATACATACACTTATACATAAACTCATACACACATACATATACACATACACATACATATACAAATACACATACAAATACACATACACATACATACAATAACAAACCATGACGTAATTTGAATGTCATGTTTTTATGCCAGGTTAAAAGTTTGCGGGAAGAGAACATGAGTCTGCGGTCGCTGTACGGGAGCGGGAGCATGTGCGGGCCCATGCACCCCTCGTCCTCCCACGTGCCCACGCCCCCTCCCCCTCTCCTCCCCCTCTCCACCACCATGACCCAGAGTCTGCACAACGGAGATGTTGACCCACAGGTACGTTGCAGAGGTCGGCTGGCATTCGGTTGACGGGGCTGGTGGTGAATGAAGTACTGGAAAATTTGGCTCTGAAAAGATTGTTTTGTAGTATATATGTATTGGTGAACCGATTTGTGGTTGACTGTAGGTGTAGTATGTATTCTGATCAGAGGTGTGATGTTTTATTTAAAAGAAAGAGAGATTGTAAAAGAAGAGAAATATTTTCATGCGAATGGGTGAGCTGTCATTTTTGAGGTGAAGGTAAAATTGACAAATGTGACTAACTGTATTGTCCTTCACTTTGCTGCTAGGCTTACAATATTGTGGTAAGATGCTGTTGTTAATGTTGCTCATGAATTTTCATTTTGTTTTGATTATTTGTTATTATTATTTTCTCTCTTTTATTATATCTTGTAAGAATTTTTAACCCTGTTTTGGCTATTACTAGTATGCCCTTATTGAGATTTTTGATGCAGTGGTTTCTGTTTCCGTTCTTGTTTTCTTTTAAAGATTTTATTTGTCTTGGAAACAGAGGTCTGAAATCCTGTTTTATGGACTAAAGCTTCTTTGCTTACCAGTTTTAGTCTTGGCAGTATTATGAAGAAGTATTTGTAAAGTAATAAGAACTAATTTTTTCTGTTTGTTTTTGCTGTAATTGCAATTAAAGTTTATTTTATACTGTATCAAGTAATTCCTTGGAAATCATATCTCATTAACCCAATGTCACCAGGAAAATGCTGTGCTTATTTTATAATTTTTTGTAAAATGTTTCTGCACATAGATGGCTCTGCTAGTGCTTAGCCACAAAGGAGTCAATTAGTAGACCTTGTGACCTTACCTGATTTTACCTTTCCTTGTATTTGCAGTGAAGAAGTTTTTTTTTACTAATGCTATGGTGTTATTTTTATTATAGACATTATAATTACTATAATGTTATTGACATTAATAGTTTTGCAATATAAGATAAAATAAGATATTTGTAAAAAGCAAGGAATAGGGTAAACAGGGGAGAAAAGTAGTACTCATAATTGGCTCATGGGTGACTTAGTACAAGTAGAGTCATCTATGTGTAAAAACAGTTAATAAAGTAAATTCAACATGCCATGCCCATTGGTTCTAGGTTAATACATTTTGAAAAGTTACTTAGAGAAAAGTATTAATTACATGCTACTTTATATTTTTATTGGCCACTCCTCCTCTGTCACGACCTGATAGTTTAGAATGGAGAAAAAGTTCTAGGGAGCAATATGAATTTGCAATCTTTTAGGGAAATTCTGCCTTAATTGAGCAACAGATGACTTTGAAGGCATGACAAACATTGATGTTTTCCAGGTGAGTTTGCGAACCAACAGAGGTCCAGCCCAGAGACCCTTCAGCATGTTTGAGCAACGTCAGGGTCTCCCCAGTTCTGTTGGGACCTCCCATCACATGGACCAAACAAGGACTACATCGTATCAGCTGAATACTATGGTGAATATCTTTTAGGACTGCATTTTCATAGGGCCCTCCCTTCCATTCCCCTTGGTGCCCCATCTCTCATCCCTTCACATTTTGTCTTCTCTATATCTCCTTCCTCTTTCCCATTATTCTACATGATTTATTTTCACCATTATTCCCTCTTCCTCTCTCAAACTTCCACCTTTCTTATCACTGCTTTTTTTTTTTATATGCTACTGCATATGAGCACATTGCTAGAAGTTTTTAATGAAAACGGTAGCTACTATACAGATTTTGCCTTGTTACAGCGTGGATCTGGGGAATATGACAACACTCGCACTGGAAGTCCTAGTCTGGAACCCACGGAAACCACACCCCTGAATCCTAGCTACACGTCCTTGCCAACTCAGGAGGAAGTATGTAAATGCATTTATTGTTCATGAAGGTTTTGAGGTATGTATTTTGCAAGGTAGATGCCTAGGCTTTTTAGTAGGTAATAATGTACTTTACGGTTTGTGTTTCTCAAAGAAATTTAGTCATTATTAAATAGGATTTTTTTGTTTTGTTTTGTTTTTTTTAAGAGAATAATAGAACACTTGTTATGTAAAAGAATATCACAACATTTAGCTGGACTTAATTTTACGCTCTCCAGGGCAGAATCTATTTGTTAGGGAGGAATTGCTATATATTAATATGCTTTCTTTCCCTTAGGTTGTAAGAAAGACAGAAGTGATCACAAAGAGGATACAAGAGTTGCTCATCTCAGCCCAGGAGGGTCGGCAGGACTCCTTTGTTCCCTGTGCCGACCAAATCCATTCAGCCGTTCTTGACATGGATTCAATCTTCCCAAAGGTACATAGACAGTAGAGAGAGAGAGAGAAAACCTCATGGGGAAATCCTCCCACCCACCCCTCTCTCTCTCCCCAAAAATTGTTTCTAGAGTTACAATTATTTTATACAGAGGTTTTGTACAGAATAAAAAAGACGAAATGTACGTAGTGCCCAAAAGGAAGTTCCGGTGTTTATCAGACCAACAGGGGGGAGGGGGGGTATAAAATTTCATCTATATGAATTCAAACGGTCACATGCAGAGTCTTTGGCCCTGGGCTTTTCTTTGCATAGGGTAGTGTTGTAGGTGTTTCTGTTTGTTTTTTTGTTTGTTTGGTTGATTAGCTGGTTGTCTGTAGTATTATTTGGCAAAAAAGGGTGATATGGATTTCTGTTGGGGGGGGGGGGCAGCTTATTGCAGTATGTATAGAGAGTTTTTTTCCCCTTTTTTTTTCTTCCTCAGATTCTTTTCTTCTTTTCTCTTCTTTTCTTCTTCCTTTGACTCAGTCTTCCTCTTCTTACTTCATCTCTTCCTCCTCCTCCTCTTCCTCTTTCTCTTCCTCTCCCTCTAAAAGTTGGGCAGTGGAGAGAATAACTTTTTTTATATGACATGCAAGAATACATGTAAATTATCTGTAAATTGTAGGAGTTGAAAGTTCCTTGTCCTGTTCAACCTTTATCCAAAACCAGGTTGACATTTCATAAAAACCAAACTGATTTGAATTATTTGCTTTGTGCTGTTAGAGTATTTGAAAAAAAAGTTTTGTTGTTTTCAGTTAAGACTTCTTATTTATTATTTTTTCCCCTCATAAATTGGTTTTGCTCTGTCTGTTGAAGGTTATGTAATCAGACTTAGACAGATAGATGGCAGAGTGTTACCTTCCTTCATTGCTTCGTAGAGAAAGTTATTTGCTTCATAGTGACGTGGCTAAATAACACTCGGAACCTGACGAGGGTTTCTAGACAGTCGGTTGTACAGATGAGCAGAAACCCTTCTTTTCAGCACGTACTCAATTTTTTTTTTTTTTTTTTTTTTTTTTTCATCTCTCCTTTACCTTCTTCTCTTTCTTTATTTTTCGAAATCAGTTTTAATGAAAATGAGAAAAGAGAGCATTAAAAAAAAAAAAAGAGCATTCTGCGCTCATTGTGATATTTCGGACTGTTACATTCCCTTTTCATTTTGTTTCCAGCGGAATGTCACAGGCATAAAATAACACAGAATTGGAATCTCCTTCTTCCACCTGAATCTCTTCACAGATACACTTGTTTCATGTGAACTCTCTTCTTCTGATTGTTTGTCTTTCCCTGTATCTATTGTAGTCAACTCGTAGAAAAGTAGAATGTACGAGGAAAAGATATGTTTTGATGTTTTGTTTTTTTCTGATTTTAATGCATATATTTACAAACAGGAAAATCAAAATAAGTTTAGAGGACTCAAGGAATTTTTTAAAAGGTGAGGCAGCAAAGTTGTGTTAAAGACATTCATCCCTCAGCTAAATTCAGTGAAAGTCCGTGTCACTAGACCGCACAGTTCTGGTAGTCGCTGCAGCAGATTTGCTCTAATCCTGCGATAGAGTGCAGAGGAAAGCTTCCAATGCTTCTTAGTACGTTATGTCTTCAGTCTAGACCAACTGTTTGCTTGCACATCTGCCAGACTTCTTTCTTTACTTTTGTATTTCTTTCTGTCTCCATTTTGTATTATTGGATTCTGTTGTACTATAAAAGTTGTTTTGGTTATTTTATGTATGATTTTATTGATAGGTATTTTGTTTTATTTCTTTGTTACTGTTTTCAGGTTGAATTTGATTTTCAGGAGTTCACTTGTGTTAGAAGGTTATATGAATACCATCATGTAATGTAAAGTTCTATTCCTAGCCTATGTTCGCTGCAGTCATGTACCACATGGAAACATTTGGCTCCTGTGCTTCTTATGCTACCCTGAATTGAATTAAGTAGCTTTGCAAAGTTAATTTACCGGCTTGTAATATTTTTCTTTCAGCTTGAGATAATCGTTTTGAATATATCAGACATACTGACAAGGAAGTTCATTCTTATTAAATTTTGAATATTTTATAGTTATATATTTTTTTTCGCCTTAGATTAAGCAAATCATGACATCTCTCTGAACGTGGCTTTTCTCACACAGACTCGGTGCTCTACTGGGGTGCAGGGAGCACTGCGCCAGCTGGTGAGCAGTGCTGGCCGGCTGCAGAATGAATGTCGCGGCCACCTCTCCTCACACTCGCACACTCTTGACCCAAAGTTTGTGACACAGCAGGTAATCCAGTGTGCATATGACATTGCCAAAGCTGCAAAGCTTTTAGTGACACACTTCCAGTGAATATTACGTGCTCACGACCGGTAGTTCAACGCAGATGAGGATTTCCCACAGTGGGAGTGCCAGATTCATTCTGGTCCGAAGAACGTCACGATGACATGGGTCCCGTTCCTTTACCTGCTCCTGTACATTGGCCTGAGGGTCATAATTCTGAACATAAAACTGTTATAGTTTATATAGGCAAAAACCAAAGGTTTTTATGTTTATTATTTTCATGATTATATATCTTTCCCTGCAGCTTTGTGACTGTTTTGGGAACTGTAAAAGCTGATAGGGTCATGTACCTATTAGATATGTAGTCTCTGTCTATTCTGATGTTCCTGTAGTAATACAGCACAGTTTATTTCTCAAGTTATAAATACATTCTCTATGCAGAATGTTGTATATGTATCCCAGTATGCAGAATGGAAATAGTTTTGTCCATAAAGTTCTGTGTGGCCAACCCAGACAAGAACTTACAAAATAACGAGGAGAGTGTTTGCATTTATTAATCTTTTTACGGATGGTGACTAGAAGCATTAATGATTATTTTGGCATGTGATTTGTTAGAAATACATGATGAGTCCCCAGAACTTATTTGGCGGATTAGTGTAAGAATAACAGATGGATTTGATTCCATAAATTGTTAAGTATATGCATATTTGAGTTAATGGTATTATTGATTTCTTTTTGTTCTATAATAACAATGTGATTGTATAATGTGATCGTTAACAAGAACAAGAACAAAAGCAGAATTTATGTATTGCATATATTATTGTAAGATAAAATGATGGATGTTAAGGAATACATTGGTGCTCATAGAAAGCAGTCATTGATGATTGAGGTGATATATTTATTTTTTTGCAACCGGGGTATGCTGGTAAGCTACAATGAGGCCTGTGGTGGTGCCTTTAAGAAGAGAATGGACTTATACAGCTTCGGACTGTGTGAACAAGGGGAGCTCTTCGGAAAACTCTTGTTAGGCTTCGATTTTATAAATCTGTCACTGGGATTTGATTGGGAATGGATTGTAATTGGTGCTCTTGGGATCCCTTGTCAAAAAGCATAAATAAAAAGTATATCATTATAGAAGCTTAGCTGATTATGCTATACATGTGATATGTTATGATGCAACACTCATGCAAAATGGGGCTAGACTGAAGTGAATATAAGAGCAATATATGTTTTGCAATTTTTTGCTCAAGTAAGCATTTATGGATTGTTCGGCAGTAATACTCACAGAGGAAGTCCTACTTCAAGCAAAGGAAGTCAAAGGAGTAATAGCATAGTATTGGCTTTTGTAAGCAGTACTTGTAAGAGATAGCTTATGTGTTTTACTTTGGAAAAGGAAGTTTTGAGAGACAAGTTCTAAATTCTCGGCATGAATTACATTAGACAAATTGTTTGTATACTTAGCATTCATTTCATCTATTTTCTTTTCTGTATTAACCCCAGTGGGCAAGAAAGTCCATGAAAAGCAGAGTTTAAAGTACTTTAGGGGATGATTTGTATGTATATATGCATTTTGGAAGCACTTAGTGGCATCCGAATTACAAGATGGTATTGGCATGTAATATGACCAAAATTTTACGTGTTATTGTGCCTTTAAGGTTACGCCTTTCTGGAGCTATCTCAATACAGTGTGCTAGGTGCTTTACAAAGTAATGTCTTAGAGGAGTATCATAGAAATGCTTGCCTAAATTAAAAGATATTTTATAACTGTTGCCTGTGTGCGTGCTGCCAAGTCACTGTTGTCTGAGCCTGAGTGTGTTTTAGCGGGATTGCTGACGGCATGACATGAAAAGCTGTTCTGAATCTTCCAGATGCATACTTAGCTCTGCTTTTTATACAAAAAGACAATCTTTTTTGAAATCTGAGAATATTTTTTCATTATAAGGGTTCCCTGGTAATAAACAGTTGATTATTAAATATGTTACTCCTCAAAAACAAGGGGGATACTTAAATTAAAGACCAGAATTCAGGAAAGTAATTCCAGTTTTTAGGACATTAAGCTGACTGACATGCAGTTGGTTTGATCCTGTATTTCAGACTCAGGTTGAGAGTACTCTAGGCTACTTTGTGTTCCCCTCAGCTTCCATTTTGGTTAACAGTATGTGACAAAAAATTGTAACTGTTATGAAACCTCTTCCCCTCGAGTGTTTTGTTGTAACCGGTTAGTCCCACTAACTTAAAAAAAAAAAGAGATTAAAAAAAAAAAGAAGAGAAACTATTAGTACTTTGTGGTATAAATCCTTTTGCCCCGTGTCCAGGAGCTTAGTTATTTCCCTGTGTCTTCCAAATAGAGGATTCATGTTGTTGCAGTGAATACAGGTTCTATGATGTTAAGCTTGAGTTATAGATCAGATGCTAAGGCTGATTTTTTAAATTGTTGTTTAATTATTATTATTTTTGTTGTTGTTGTTATTCTTATTGTGTCTTTGATGTAATTTGTAGAGAATCTTGGTAGTTTTGTATGATATGACAGGAGAAAAGAGAGGAAAAAATAGTCAGGATTAGTTTGTCTTCATTAGAAAAGAAAAAAAAAATTAAATGCATATACTATATTTTTGTGGCTTTGCATTTGTAGCTTTCAAGATTTAGATCATTTCAGCAAAGGCCGAAGTAAAAGTGATGCACTTGATTTTTAGGATAAAATTTGTTTTTCTTTTTGCTTGAGAGGACTAATAAAACCTTGTATAGATTCTTCCCTAGGCCCTTTATATAGGCAGTTTATAATTCTTATGAAATATATTTAAAAGTGATTCCACATGCACAGAGGCAAAGCAAACTACCCCCCTATATGTTGTACAGAATTATTGCAGTGTTTACCTTGTATCCAGCTCATGGTTCAGATATCTATTGCATTTATTAGGTCATATGTTAATAACTTGGCAAGTAGGTGAATTTATCTTTACAGTGTCATTATAAATAATAGTTACATTTTTTGATAGGTTGCTGATGTTATAAGGAAAGAGAGAGAGAATAGAGGGTGATTAATATTATTCTAGGAGTTGCTATTTATAGCAGCAGCTGCTTGTGTTTTCTCTTTGGCTTAAAAGAGGCAATATTATCTTGTTGCTTCCGTACAGACGACATATCAGCAAAGGCAGCAGTCACAGATAGTTCATTCATAGCAGTTGTGCAGTTATCATGGGAACAAATCTTTTACTTAGTCAGTATCCTGAAGTCCCAAGCACTAAAGCAAGAATGGATCATTTAATGAGAATTTTATACTCATGTGCCATGTGGCTTCTTCATTCATGGTTATAAAAGTTTTTTTTTTTTTTCCTTCTTTCTTTTATAAAAAGCACATTCTTTTCTGTCATATCAGAATACATCATTATATGAATAAAGTTGCCATGCTGCTCTTCCATCCAAGATTGCTGTGGTCAAGATAATCATTTCAAAGTCAGTCTTATAATCAGCTACTTTTCCCGTAGCATTTCAGAAGCTGACGTTGATCTAATACGTATATTTCAATGAAGTAACCATTAGATATTTTTGAATTAAAACTGTTAATTAGTTGACCTTCCTGTTGTTGCTGTTTTGCAGCGATAGCATGGAGGAAGTGAAGGAAGTAAGATTTTGTGTACTTGAATAGAAATATTAATACTATGGCATCTAACATTCCTATGTTTGGTCGATAATGGAAGCAGTAATACTGTGGTGTTCATTAAAAGTTCATAAATCCTTATTTATATGCTTATTTATATAGTTGAATTTGAAAGTATTATATTTGCTGCTGCTGTAAACAAAAGATAAACATTGTGCATATTTAGTAGCAATGAAACAATTCAACCACGGCAGAAAAAAAGCTGACAAAAGGTTCTTCCAGAAGGTTCAAAATGCTCTTTCTCATACAAGTTGTTCGGATTCCAGGCTGTTCCACAAATCTGTATTTTTTTTATTTTGTTTTAATTTTTTTTTTCTTTTCCTTTTTTTCTTTTCTTTTTTTTTTTACAATAGGAGAGTGAAGGATCATTGTTCCAAATGTGTGTCGTTGTGAACTGCTGTAATTCCACAATAATTGAGTAATTATTAATCTCTTGCCAATATGTAATTTTATCTATTTTTGTGAATTAACTTTCATCTGTACATATTCCTCTTTCCCTTCATCGTTAATTAACAAGAAAATTTTGAACTGACCTGTTGTTATTTTCCTCTTGGTGTGGCTGCTGTAAAGCCAAGATTATATACAGAGTGTATTATTTTGAGAAAAAAGTGTGTTTACGGTTTGCTAATATTTCTTAATAATTTAACGATGCAGAGGTAGCTATTTTGCCCCTCATTCTGTAAATAAAGAATATTCTAAGAGTGCAAGTCATGCAATTTGGTATTTTTATTTGGGTCAAATGCAGAAATTTATTATCAAACAGTTTTGGTTACAAAGTCTACAGGAGCTGTACTGAGTATACATAGTCAGTTCATAGATTTAGCTGCTTTTCTAGGAATCAGCATGTATATTTTTTAAGCTTGCAAATCGGAAATAAAACCTATAGCTTCCAAGGATTAAATATATTTAATAAACAATATGTAACTAATACACTATTATTTTTATGGCATCTTCATTTTAATATTTGAGACACTAACTTTTTAAGGTAGCCTACTTGCATTATGCATGCGAGACAAAAAAAAAAAAAGATGTATATATTTAAAAACAAATGAATTTGTTTATGGGTTTTATATTTTGTCTGTTCAGTGTGAGGATAACTAGATTTCTATTTATGACAGTTAGGGGGAGGGAAAACTAATGGCTGATGTTTATTTTAGACCGTGCCTGCTTTAATTACCATCACCAGCAAATGTAGAGTGTCATTCCTGTAAGAGGACAGTTAGGGGGAGGGAAAACTAATGGCTGATGTTTACTGATTATTTTATTTTAGTCTACGCCTGCTTTAATTACCATCACCAGCAAATGTAGAGTGTCATTCCTGTAAGAGGTAGTAAAAAGCATAAATACTGTGAACTGGGTAGTAGATGAAATATTACACGATTATAAATAACCAGACCTGGGGATATTAGTAAAAAGCTGATGTGTTTTTGCCAGAAAAGAAGCTGAACCAAGATATGTTAGTCTCCTTAATAACCTTTCCATATATATTAAAGAAAATAAGAAAATTTGTTATTACATTCTGCCAATTAGTAATAAAAAAATAAAAAAAACATTAACAGGAAAGCACCTTTTTAAAAAATTGAAAAAAAAAATGGGAAAATCTGAGTCCCCAGGCTGAGAAAAGAAGTCCAAAGGATGATATTGGTAGCTAAACACTTACCTTTTGAGAAAATGGCTGTTTTATTATCCTCTTTATGGTATTTCATCTATTCTCTGGTCTTGCTGATGATCATATTGCAAGTCTAATCAAGTTTTGTGTGACGGCCTAAGCAGTGACAGTTGAGAATTTATTGCTTTCTTATGTTTTAGTCAGATGTTTTGAATCTTCTTGTAAAATTATTGATTTAGACTTGTGCGATGATCATCCACTAATCCCCTTTCCTTTTCATTAGTTTTTGTTTGATCATAACATCTTTCACAAACTAGCTTCTGTGAGAATAATTTGAATAGTACTTTCTAGGCAAATTTCTCTACGGAATGCCAGCGGATAAGACAGCTGGATTTAATTGCACATATTTCAGTGCTAGAAAAACGTCACATTTGTTATACACCTTAATTTTTTGTATTTCTGGCCTGAAATTCCTGGTATGACCATTTAAGTTCTTATTTCTTATTTCTCTATTGAAATCATTAACGGATAGGTACCAAATGGGGGGGCAGGGGAAAAAGAGAAAACATCTTTATTCGCCAATATGTATCAAGTCTGTTCACATAATAAAAGGAATAATGAGAAGAAGCATACATTTGCATAAAGCACTAACAATAGATATTTTTACTTTACTTGGGAATAGTTTGAAGGCCCTAGGTACGAAGCATGCAGGGTGCCACTCTAGAAACCCCAGCTTTAGATTTACAGGCATACCAGTCTCAAATCAAAATCATTTTCCTGATTGAAAGGTCCTTACTAACCTACTCATGGACCCCCCAATCCTTGCCCATTGTTGTCATGAGGAAGGTGGACTTAGATGGAGACTGAGACTCAATTGGGAGATCTCCCCTACCTTGGCCCCCCTAATCCCTTGCTTGTTGTCATAGGGGATCACCCCTACCTTGAACCTCAGCTCTTGCCTCAAGTCATTTTGCAAGGTATTTTCTTCTCCCTCTTTCCTTTTCCCTCTCTTCTTCATCCCCTTCTGTTCACTTCCTAAGGTGCGAGAGCTGTGCTCGATAAGATGAAAGGCTGGCTTTGTGCCAGTCATTAATGGCCTCCGGGAGCCATGGGCATGCCATTCACTTGGTTACTTGCCTAGCCCTTACCCCTCATTGGGACCCTGAGGGGTAGACCGTTTCCTCTCCCCATGTATTTCAGGCTCACCGTGACCAATAATGAAATATTTTAACTCTTATCACAGGCATTATGACTTGCCTCTTCATAAACTAGCCTATCTAAATTTGATTTCATTGACTTCCCGACCCGTGCCTCCCCTTTGACCACAACTCTGACCGCTGATACTAATATCCCATCCTCAGTGTTTGCTGTTGACTCTCTCCATTCTGAATCATCTACCCAGGTCATTACTCAACCTCCAGAATACACCCCTTCCTCTCTCCCAACATCATCCACTCCATCTACTGCAGTCTTCATTGTCTTCCTCCCAACAGTACTCCCTCTCGCCATACCAACCATCTATCTCCCGCCCGCCATACCACCCCATCTATCTCCCGCCCTTGTCCTTCTACTGCTTCCACCTCTGCAAACCTTTTGAATGCCCTTTTTGGCTCCTCCACCCATGACCTTTCCCTGTTTACATTGGTGTAGAATCCCTTCCTGTCTGACCATATCAACCTCCTCCCCGTCAGTGTCAAAATTGTTGGCATTTAGGACATCCTGCCAAACACTGCCATTCCAAAGCCCGGTGCTGTCTGTGTGCCCAACCTGGCCACACTCGATCAAACTGCTCTACACAGTCATGTGCCAACTGTGGCGGATCCCATAATGTACTTTATAGGGGCTGCCCCACCTACATGTCTAAGTCTGAGGTGACCTTTCAGATTCTGACTTAGTCTCACTCTTGATGAAGCCAGACAGGAAGCTTGTAGACAAGGTTTTTTTCTTACCCCCTACTCCAGTAATGTCGCTCACTCTGCCCCTCCCCTCCCTCCCAAGACGTTCCTACACCCTCCCTTATACCTGTCCCTCCTACATCTTCCTGGGATGTTGGGTTGTTACTCCCTGCCCTACTACCTGCATGCTGTCACGGCAATAGGAGAACCCTCTTTAACCACTGTCAGCAGAAGGTTTACCCAGCTGTTTTCTTTTTGGTCATAGAAGTTATCTACTATGTCTATGATCAGTTCTGCTGTGCTTGTTGCTGGCTATTTCCTCTCAGACAGCAGGCTCGCAAACTCTCAATTCTCCAAGCAACGGTGTAAACAAAGGTGGCACAATCCTTGTATTTGCATCTCCTTCGTCTCTTTTTCTCTAATGTAAATGTGCTTCCCTGAAATAAATTTCAGTTTTCCTCTATAAGCTGGTATAATATGGCAATCTTCAGAGGTGACGATGAAGGAGGAAAACCATGAGGTAAGTCCTTATATAATGAGACATCAAGTCTGGGGAGTGGGAGTAGGAGTTCTGCTGTGCATTGCTCTAGGCACTGACTGATTAACATCAAGTCAAGTCAAAATTGAAAGAAAAGACCCATTGCCAGGGAGGGGAAGACAGTGGGAAAGGAAAAGGATAAGATTATGAGAGAAAGGATGATTTAGTGAGATAGAAAGTGCCTAACATCGATAAACGTTGACATATAAACCGCAAGAAGAGGGCACATGGCAAGTGCCTCATCAGATAAAAGGAAAGAGGACCGGAAGGCTCACAAAGTGAAAGTCGATCGACCTCAAGTCAACGGACTGCTGTCCAATTCTGCCAAGAAGCTGTACCTCGGTTCAAACAGGACATCGGCGGTCTTGGGTCACTTCAGATTCTAGTCCTGGAACCCCTATCACTGACTGGAAGCTATTTCGTGCAGTATCTAGGCATGTCTGGGTGATGTAGTTCAACTTTGGGTTCTATACTCTGTCATCTGGTGTGGTACATATCATTTCCAGTTAAGTATTGTTAGGTTGGGTTGAGTTGGGTTGGTCAGGGGGAGACTGGGTTGTGAAAGATGCATGTAGACTTCAAATAAATTAGATGGACTAGAGTTCATCTAATTCTTGTTCAGTATGAACCTCAAAGGATGGAGGGGACTAATCAAAAGGCTGATAACTTCCTAGGGTGCAAGATGTTCATGGATCCTTCATACTGTAATTGGTATCGTTATGATTGATTGTTATGTTTGCAATTTGTTTGACATGAATCCCTAAACAGAGAAAATACAATTACTATATAATCCCAGGCTTTGAGAACTGATGGGGTTGTTTTTACCTACTATATGAAAGTTGTGATTGGCTGAAGCTGGATTAAGCGATTAAGCCATATCAATACACTTCTAGCAAAGCAAAGGAAATACTTTACTCAGAAGGAATGATAACTCAAGAGTAACCCTCCCCAATCTCCAACTAAATATTGGGGCCCTTTATAGATACTCCTCAGAAATATCCTTACCACTAAACACGTCAACTATTTCAGTACAAAATGTTATTTTAAATCTTTAGTTCATCACTTTTTATCTGTTTTCAATGCAACAGCTTAGACTGACTGTCATTAATCTACATGTGGTTAAAAAGTTAAAAAAAATCTTATCTACCAAATTGGATGCACCGACAAAGTTAAGATCATCATCAAAGAGGATGTTTTGGTATTGGTGGTACCGAAATACCATCAATGCTATCATCAATTACCAGATATCGTTGTTTAAACTAGTACTCCAGGGACCTTATCTCTGCTTTATTTACTTATAGGACCAATAAGGTTAAACCTGGTTGGCCGTATATTAAACTTGCAAAACTTTTATTTTTTGGACTAATTTGATTTATAAGTGAAAAATGTATGCAGGGTATGCAAGTCTTTATTTGACCCTGATTAAAACCTGTGGCACTTGTTCTCAAGTTTCCTGTTTTCCAAGAGCTGCTTGGGTTTCGCTGTTAGTTTGCCTTTTCCTCTAAGTATATGCTAGGTTGTCACATAATTTTGTGTTTATATGTATTGTGTGTGTACATATTTATTTGCATTTGTACACTTGAGTGTTTGCCTGCCTGCATTACTTTTGTTTGAGTACATTTTTATATTTGTTTTTAATAGGGCTTCCATATTGGGTGTGCCCCTGTTCTCTTGTGGCTACATGCATTATACTACTGAAGAATAGTGCAAAAATAAGTTTTCAACTTTTCTTACGGGCTGACAGATCAGAGAAAGAGAAATAATGGAATTGGAAGGTACAGTTTCAATATGTTGTCTGAAAACTTTTAATGACAAATTTACAGTTGTCTTTTTCCTCACTAATATCTCCAAAAATTATACAAGTGATGAAAGATTAAAAGTTCCTTTTCTGGAATGTAGAACCAACAATTTGCACTTTATTTACAAATGAGCAGAAAATAACAGGCACTTAGCAAACTGCTCTTATTTATAAACTCATACAAAAAGTAACTCACATACTACATATTCATATAGTTATTTATTTACAAATATGTATAAATATAATTCCATACATAATATACGTAAATGTATGTCAAGGTAATAAAAACAAGTAATAATAATAATAATAATAAAAAAAAAGTCTGAAGAAAGAGATTGAGTAGGTACAAAATATTTACCAAAATTTACATTATTGTCAAAGAATGCTGGCACTATGGGTTTCCTATCAAAATATATCTTCAATTAATTTTCACTTTATTCTCTTCTACTGACTGGTAACTCTTGCGCCACACAGAATGTAGCCACCGCCTCCGGACATGTTTATCTCCGGGTGAGTCCTCATGGGCAGGACCTGGTAATGCCGTAGCCATGTTTCGCTCAGTCTCAAGTTTGTGGCTCCTTGGGCCTTCACTTCAATAAAGAGATCCATCAGAGGCTGAAAACATAAAAGGATGATAATATTTCCTGCTAATATTCTCATAATAATGTTCACTCTGAAATACCCCACTGAATCCAGTCATATACAGAGAATTTGTGGAAACCTTAAAGAAATTAAATTATCAGGATGTGGGATCTTATCATTTGCTGCAGAAATGGAATATCAGTATAGTAAACAATTACATCTACCAACTCGATAAAATTCACACACTAAAAATGCATTTTTCGAATCCACAGGTCAAAATCTATAGTGTGATACTTCGAAATATCACCATCATTTTCCATCCTCCTGTAGAATTTTGGTATAGGTTGCCTGAGTCCACACCTGAGCATGTCTATATATAGAATTTTGCCCCTTTGGGGTTAAATGCCACATAAACCACAAATCTGGTGTTCAAAAGCTCAGCTTCAATTCAGCCAATGCACCAACTACTTTGCTTATCTTTAATTAAAATTAAGAGATGAAATCTATAATTATTATCAATCAAAGAAATAAAGGCATTTCTCCCTACACAGAATAAATTTAGTTTACCAGTAAATTATTTTGTATCAACTTTCACATGTGGTAAACAAAACATGGAAAACCTTTCCTTCTCTCAACACATACCTCCTTATATGGGGAAAACACCACAAACGGGTGGCCTGGCTTCAGAAACTGAAGCAACTCTCTGGTGATGTTAACTGGATGCTGTCGACAAACCACAACCAGGCCATCAATCTGTCCACTCAACACGGAGGAAGATACTTCTACATCTTCTACCAGAGTTCTGACAAACTGAGGAAAATAAAGAGAATGGAAAATAAAATAACAAGGACAAAGTTTTCTTTAACATCTGAAAATATTCCTGGATTCATTCTTTTGCTTTTAAAAAGGGTCATTTACAGTATTTTCTTGATCCAATGAATTAATTTTCTTATTTTCTTTGTGACTCATAATTGTTACATGAACTAATTTTGAGGAGTCCTTTTGAGTCGTGGAAGACTCCAGAAAGTATACAAGTATGACGAGAACTGCACTTTTCAACACACCTTCCTTGGTCTCTTAAAGGTCGATTTATTATCGCCCTCATTGCCTGCACCTTCTTTGGGGGTCTCAGCTGGGACCTCCTTTGTTTCTTCATCAATGCACATCTTTTCTGATTCTCCATTGCTCTCTTTCACATCTTCTTTACCTTCATCAGATGCTTTTTCTGTATTTTCAGCACTTGCCTCATTTTTAGCCGTATCTGTAAAAGAACAACAGATTAATTTTGCACCACACTTCATCACATTTGTCTGTCTGTCTGTCTGTCTGTCTCAAGTATACAGGAAGTATAAAGTATGACGAGAACTGCACTTTTCAACACACCTTCCTTGGTCTCTTAAAGGTCGATTTATTATCGCCCTCATTGCCTGCACCTTCTTTGGGGGTCTCAGCTGGGACCTCCTTTGTTTCTTCATCAATGCACATCTTTTCTGATTCTCCATTGCTCTCTTTCACATCTTCTTTACCTTCATCAGATGCTTTTTCTGTATTTTCAGCACTTGCCTCATTTTTGGCCGTATCTGTAAAAGAACAACAGATTAATTTTGCACCGCACTTCATCACATTTGTCTGTCTGTCTGTCTGTCTCTCTCCAATATACCCTTCCTACCCCACCATCTTCCTCTCATGCCCATAACCATTTCAGCATTCACCGAAGTACAGCCCCACCTATGTCTCCTACATGATGAGAATGCTTCCTACAGTCAGAAATTAATCACCTGATGCATTCTACTCCTCACTTGTAAGATTAACACACAACTTTTAAGCATGCTACAGCACCCATACCATGATGCTTGATGAGAGAGTGCTACAGGCTGAGAGGAAAGCAATAGAAGATGGGCTAGCTTTTTATAGACACCCAACTCCTGATCATCTTCAGCCTTTTTCCCTCACCTCATGCTTCTGCAAGGTACCTGAATGCATCATACTCAACCATTTGCTCTACTGCCTGCAACCCAAACTCTCACATCAACTGTATGGTTTTCTATCTGAGCGAGGGACACACCATTGCCTTCTACACCTGTCTCCCCCCCACCATTGTAGCATTCATAGACCTTAAAAGTGCTTCTGATACAGAAAATAAAGAGAAAATCCTTGATCAGCCAGTAGAATTTGGTGTGAAGGGACATTTACTGAACTAGAGGCTATCTCAGCAACAGTACTTCTTTAATGGAACCTGTAATACACCCAAAAGTTTTGAAATGGGTACTCTTCAAGGTGGTGTTCTTAGTCCACTGCTGTTTAATGTTCTTATGCACTGCTTATTCTCTCTCCTACCTGACATCCCTGAAACTGCAGTTACCAGCTATGCAGATGACATTTGCAGCCACTCTAATTCGCCACAGGATATCCAGCTCCTCCTCCACACCTTTTCTGATTCATCTGCCACCTATGGTCTTGTCATCTCCCCAGAAAAAAACAGAATTTTCTCCTATTGCAACCCAAGAACACTCCTAGATTTCATCATGGGAGGCAGAGCTGTCCCTTGCTGCTTGCAGTACCTCTACTTAGGTGCGCCTGTACAAGTCATCCTGACCATCCCAGCATGACAGAGGACCTCCTCTGCCCTGACAAGTTCCTCATCCAGAGGTCTCCTTCACTCCAACCTCCAAGACCTTCTGCTCCAGCAAAAGCAACTGGCACTAGAGGCCATCGACAAAGTGTCTGTATCTGTTCCCGCTGCCCACCACCTCTATGTCGACAGCTCTCTGCAGGCAGACGGGAATGCAGCATGTGTCATGTTCTCCCCCACTATGAAGCTGCCAGGGGGTGGCGGATGGGTTGGCCATAGATTATCCAACTCCTCAAGCTCTGCCTACAGTGAGTTTCATGGCCTCCTGGATGCTGTCATTCTCCTCTCTCAGAGGGGCTAAACGGAGTTGTGATCTGTGCCTCCCAGTTGGTCCTTCATGCCCTCACATCAGTAAGAATATAGTTCTGTGCACAGAATAATATTCTCACCATAGCCCATGACAGATCTCTTGTGAGCATTTTTGGTTGCCTTCTCATATGGTTGCCTTCTCAGGCTGGGCTCATGGCCAATGAACTGTGGACAATCTTACTAAGACTGCTTGTGCCCTGGACATGCCTGATATACATGCCACTCCCTTGCTCCAGTATTGCAAAAAAATTATATACTCCAAATATCACGCACCCTTTATACTTCAATATAAAATTGTCTGTCATCCACTGGACTTTAAAAAATCATCAAATCACACACACACACAAAATAATAAAAAAATAAAAAAAACAAAATAAAATCACTTAATGAAAATCAACTACATGTATTTCACCTAAAACCTCTCTATAAAATCATAATCCATATCAATTTCTTACGACAAGCTGATCCATTAATCTCCCAACGCAATGCCTATTGCTTGTGAATGACAACTTCTGCAAATAAAAGCTAACCTGAATTTGTCCTTTTAAACTATGACTCACATGAAAGAGGCCGCTTGAAGTGCATCAACCCCAAAAGTGGCCTCCAGACTATGGTACAGCTGACCCAGCACCTGTTCACAGAACTGAGGCGACCCCAGAGCAACCGTAGTCAAGTGAGGGTCATTCATTCACACATCAATGCCATTAGCCTTAATTTAGATATATATTCAAGGCTGAAAGGGAACTTACTTCTTGTCTGAGATTCTTTTCCATTCTTCAAGTTTTCTAGATCCAGGTCTGGTAGCTTGGAGAAATTAATGAAGGACAGAACTTCTAGTTCTTGTTCTGTGAAGTTCATTAGATCTACTGCCTCCCTTGTGCAGAAAGAAAAGTACTATATCAATATCACATGGAAGAATGGCTTTAAGTAATTCATATTGTCTAGTAACCATTGAGAGGTCTATGTGTTGTAGCAAGTTAAACCGTCTAACAGTTACATAAAATTTCTACTTTAATCACAAATAAAGAAATAAAGAAAATCGTATTTCTCATCACACTGCTGAATCCAATTTTCGCACAAGATTTTATTCGGTTACAGACACAAAACCACAAGATACTACTCAAAGCTTTACCTCTGAGGATGATTCCCCTGATAAACCTGCACTAGCTTTCCAGTTGTTCCCATTCGGTGTAACATGCCAGCAGTCACTAGGCCCTGACTGCCTGACTCAAATACCGCAAAGCGTCCACCAGACTGCACATTGGCATAGCATAATATTTGTGATAACATGTCTATGCGGAGATTCCTGCAAAGGGGATTAAGGAGGTTACCAGGTTTGCGAGACAAAAAATGTATTATATTTTGCCATCTCCTTACAATATACTTCTGTAAACCATGATTCTGCAACAAGGTCTTCACTTACGCAATCTTAAGAGGGTCCTGTGTATAGTACATGTTGTTTAGTAGACGTATTGATGGTTTCTGCAAAGTGATCACTTCGTCATATTTTCTCTGCTTCTTGTTGACATACTTTTCTTGTGAAAACTTGGTCTTGCTCTTAAAAGTTGTACTGTTTTCAGTAAGAGTTTGAATAACCTGCAATATATTTCATAACATTTTAGTATCATAAAAAAAACATTAATATGAACATCTTCTCTATGTTTATAAGCCCTCCTCTTTGTATATGTTTGTTAATGTGCAGATGCCATAAACACAAAAATCTAATGGCTATGCTAACACTATATCACTGACACAAATCTGAAATTTCTTTATCTTTTTTCCTTACAGATTTAGTTTCAACCAGCTATGCAATCCTCACAGTGGTAAGCCACTGTGAAATGCACATGTATCATGAAACTCAATGTATATTGTAAAATCTAACATCAACAGCTGAAGTGCACAAATGTTAATGTTACAAATCCTGTTTAGAATAAGGCTCTTAGAACCAAATGAGACAACACTAAACTTTCTTTCCACTGTAAATGAAAGATACGAACAAAGCAAGACACCTAAACAGTAGTCACTCTATACATGAAACATCCTACCTCTTTGCCCGTAAGTCCCGAGTCCTTCAGCTGACTGATCTCTTCCGGGGACAGCTTCTGGGATCTTCCGTCATCACAAATATTGCGATTGTCCTCGCCGCTCTCCTTAACTGGGAAAAGAAAAGTATCATTCCATATCAAATACAACAACAAGTATTAAGCAACTCCTCTTTTCACACATATGGATTATGAAAAAATGTAGTAACCGACATCCCACGGACTTACCAATGTCCTCCATGTTGGTGTTTTCTTTAATCTGTATGATTTTGAAGAGTTTGTTTGATATTCTTTCCATCTTGAAGGAGGATCCAAACGCACAGCCCAAGGCTCCATCAAGATTCAGCGTAAACTGCCCTTCCCCTTTCTTGCCAAACACAAAAGATCTGTCCATAATAAAACAAAAATGAGTAAATGTACATCAAAGAAGAAGAATACACATATACATACATTACAGTCTTGGTTATGATGGCACAGTCAAAAAGTATTAATGGAGGACCTGACATTTATAAAGGCAATGGAAGTCATACCTATAAGAAAGAAGTCTATTGATCACATAATTTCTCATTCCTTTGGTTATCCCCTTCCATTTCCTCCTGCTTTCCCTCATTCCTTACATTACCTATAATTCCTATCAATCA